TTGCTTATTTTTGAGAGAGACAGAGCACAAGTGGGGGAAGGGCAGAGAGAGAGGGAGGCAATCAGAAGCAGGCTTCAGGATCTGAGCTGTCAGCACAGCCTGATGCGGGGCTTGAACTGCGAGATCATGACCTGAAACCAGCTGAGCCACGCAGCCGCCCATACACTTGAGCACTGAACGATCTGCGGAAGTGTTGAATGACTATACTGTACCCCCAGAACTAATACAACACTGTATGTTAACTACACTGGATTTTTAAAAAGTGTGAGTCCTGCTTTATTCTCTATTTTCCAGGTAAATGGTTTTGGCTATTCTGGGGCCCTTGCAATTCCGTATAAATTTTAGAAGTAGCCTGTTGGGGCACCTGGGTGGTTCCGTTGGTTAAGTGTCCATTTCTTGGTTTCGATTCAGATCAAGGTCCCACAGTTCATGAGTTCAAGCCCCACTTTGGGCTCTGTGCCCATCATAGTGCTGAGCCTGCTTGGGATTCTCGGCCTCCCCCCCGCTTGTGCGTGTGCTCGTTCTCTATCTAAATAAATTTTTTAAAAAAAGAGCCTATCAATTCTTACAATGAAGTAGTTCAGATTATGGTGGGGATTGCAAGGAAGCCTTAGATCAGTTTGGGGAGTGTTATCTTAACGTGATGCCTTCTGATCCATGAACGTGGGATGTTTATTTAGGTATTCCTTAATTTTGACAGTTTTGTAATTTTCAGAGTATAAATTTTGAGTTTCTTTGGCTAAACTGATTCCTAAGTACTTTATTCTTTTTGATGCCATTATGAATGGGATTTTCTTTAATTTTGGATTGTTTATTGCAAGTTTATAGAAATACAATTGATTTTCTCTCTTTTTAATTTTTTTTTAACATTTATTCAGTTTTGAGAGACAGACAGCATGAGTGGGGGAGGGGCAGAGAGAGAGGGAGACACAGAATCCAAACAGGCTCCAGGCTCCGAGCTGTCAGCACAGAGCCCGATGCGGGGCTTGAACTCACAAACCGTGAGATCAGGACCTGAGCCGAAGTCAGACGCCCAACCGACCAAGCCACCCAGGCACCCCATCTCTCTCTCTTTTTTAAGAGAGAGCATGACAGCAAGGGAGAGGGGCAGGGTGGGAGAAAGAGACAGGAGAATCTCAAGCAGACTCCACACTCGGCTCAGAGTCCGATCCCACAACCCTGGGATCATGACTGAGCTGAAATCAAAGTCAGATGCTCAACTGACAGCCATTCAGGCACCCCACAATTAACTTTTCCTAATGGAAGTATAACTCACACACGATGAATTCACATACAATATTTTTACATGTGAAATGATCCCCATAAGTCCAGTTACCATCTGTCACCAAAGTTATTGAAATATTATTGACAGTATTCTTCATGCTCTGTGTTAACATATGTGACCTATTTGTTTTGTGACTGGAATGTTTGCACCCTCTTAATCTCCTTTATCTGTTTACCACTCCAACCCCTCCCTCCTGTGGTAACCAACAGTTGCTTTATCTACAAATGTGCT